CCCGCCACAATTGACGTGCGACGAGTGCATGAGGAGCCGTCCGTCCGTCCTGAGTGCATCGATCCTATCTACCTGGTTGGTGTGTAGCTAGCCGGCCGATCTATCGATCGATTGGGGGGAGGGAGGCATCACGATGACAGACAGCATGGTGTGACATGTTGTATGTGTGTGGGTGTGGGTGTGGGTGTGGTGTGACTCGACTCGGCCGGCCTCCATGTATGTGATTGTGTGTCGACGTCCATTCAATGGTTTTCTCCTTGTCTGTCTGGTCAATTACACACTACGGACGGGGACACGCACACGCACTCACAGGGGGACAGAAGGAGAGAGAGAGCGAGAGTGGATAAACGCCCCAGACTGTTTGACAGACCTGCAATTCACTCACACACATCAGTCAGGCCACTTAGTCAGTCCTCCGCACCAATACAAAACACTCAGACGCAGGCAGGCAGGCTTAAGCGGTCTCACAGACAGAGCGCGATTTGTCAGTGAGGCTTGGCGCCTCATGACGCCGACGCCCCACGCCCCGCTAGGCGTCATGAGGCGCGCCAAGCCTCACTGACAGGTACGTATACGCAGCTAGGTGGTCCGATCGAGAGAGAGAGATGCAATCAAAACGGCCGGCCACATGACATGCAGGTGACATGCAATGCATCATTCACGGCCTTCCAGCACATGGAGCGGGTGGAGCGGACACACAATTCAACTCAGTCAGTCAGTGCTGCTTGGACGGTCGAGAATATGATGCAACCAAAAAGATCTCCGTCTCTCTCTCTCTCTGTCTCTGTCTCTGTCTCTGTCTGTCTGTGTGTGTGTGTGTGTGTCCTTCGACAAACACTTTGACGGCTGCCGCCATAGTGGTCGAGGCGCACGCCATAGGACACCATCACACCAACACTGACTGCACATCGAGCGAAAAAATCTTCCTGCCCCATGACCCAGAGGATATGCATCAGCTCCGCCCACATAGTCCGCCCGCCACACCCAGCTGTCTGTGCCAAATCCGCCCCTTGGCGAGCGAACTAGCCAGAGTCCATCGACGGCGTCGCCCCACGCTGAACACATGCACAAACGAGTCGGGCCTGCCTCGCCCGCGCTCCATGAACGGCCTCGCCCCCGGCCCACTTGAAAGAGACCATGACCCAGGTTTGCTGTCTGTGAGCAATGTCCTGTGAGTTGCAGCGACATGAGTACCTCTCTCTCCTTCTCCCCCACCGCGTCCCTTCTCGTCACCCCCAAACACACACACACACACCCCGCCTGGCACCCCACAGGCGTCAATCAGACTCGGCCACGCCACGTGGCACCACAGACCATCCCAGCACTACCTACTCCTCCACTTCATCATCCATTTCATCATCCTCACTGACCTCCTCCCAGCTGTCGCTGTCGTCATCGACTGCATCATCACACCCGCTAGCCGCCGCTGGTGGTGGTGGTGGTGTGGGCTGCTGGGTCGATGGTGTGGGCTCCTGGGTCGATGCTGGCGCTGGTGTTGCTGGTGGTGGTGGCGGTGGTGGTGGTGTGGTGGGCTGCTGGAGTGCGGCCCCCAGCTGCTGCCATGTGAACTGGCAGTCGGCATCGCCTAGGTGGGCGTTGAAGCCCTTGACCACACCCGGCACGCCCCACTTGGCCACCTCGTCCAGAACGGCCCGATGTACCACCTCACGCAGACCGACACGACCAGCAGTGTGCACCGCATGAGCAAGACGGCCGTCGGCACCCTCGAGCACGAAGCACTGCAGCGGCACACGCACCACCTGGCCGCCCACATCGGCCGTCCCGCCCACCACCTCCCTGTTGCTGCTGGCCTTACACACCGCCGAGCGGACGAAGTGCTCCGCCGCCGCGAACACACGCCGGGCGAGGACGCTGTGCCGCATGCCCATGGCCTCGGTGATGGCCTCCTTGGCGGCAGCCATGTCGAAGAGGTATGACGCGATGCGCCAGCCGAAGACGGGGGCCTCCTGCGGGCCGACGGACAGCCGGGGGGTCAGAAGTGCCGCGAAGGAGCGGTGGGGGGCGATGGCGGCGTTGACGGCCGCCATCACGGCGATGGGCAGCTCATTGAGTACTGCCGCGTACTCCGTCAGCACCAGCCGGCGCTCACGGCGGCCCTCCTGTGTGTCTGTGGGAATGCTGCTGATGTCGGCTCCCGCCCGCAGCAGCGTCCGGATGGTCAGCTTGCACCCGCGATACCGGTCCTTAGTCTGCTCGGATGTGTCGGGGTCCTGAATCTGCTCGGTGAGGTGACTGAGGTCGCCGGCAGCTGTGGCGAGTGGTGTGTCGGTGCCGAGGATGTTCCGCTTGTTGATGTCGTCGGCAGTGGGCAGCTTCCGGCACAGGTAGCAGGCCAAGTAGGGATGGCCAGACTCTGCCGCCCAATGCAGCGGCGTCCGTCCAGTGATGTCCTCTGCCGCGATGTCGGCCCCGTGCTCTGCGATGAAGTTGAGGTAGCCGTCGATGAAGGACTGAGGATGGTGCTCCCCCGCCCGCATGGCCGCCATGTGCACCAGGTTGGTGCCATTGTCGTCTTGTACGATGGCGAGGGTGGGGTCGCGCTGGATGAGCCGCTGGTACATCGACAGCAGGGCCCTCAGATAGTCGTCGGGGGGCTGACGCAGGGCACAGGGGAGCACCATCACCCACTGCACGCGCCCGTCGGACGTCTCGGCCAAATCAATGCCATCCTGCACCATCAGCACGTCGAATGCCTTTTCATTGCCGGATGCGACCGCCACGTAGAGGGGCATGCTGTCGTCGTCATCGACTGCCGCGTCGATGTCGGCGCCTCCGTCGAGCAGTGCAGTCATGATGTCCTCCTGCAGCTGATCGGACGACCACTGGGGCAGGGCAACGGGACGCTCCAGTAGTATCTGTCCACTGGGGCCACCGTCATCATGTCCTGCGCGGATGGTTCTGATGGTGTAGCCCGACTTGTCGTCAATGCTGAGAGCCAGCAGCGGGTGGGCAGTGCCGGGACACTTGCTGCCCTTCTTGCGCAGTCGAGGGATGACATTGACGTCGGCGTCCCGCTCGATGAGGCCGGTCACTTGCTGTGGGCTCGTGCTGGTGCGGCCAATGATACCCACTGCCAGGTCCTTGGTAGCGTCGCTCGTGCCCACGGGGAACACAGCCTCGATCTCATCCGCCGCCAAACAGCCGTCCGGCACAGCTACCGAATTGGCCGCCCCCGTGGGAATGGCCACACCTGCAACACACACAGCCACCACACGACGGACAGAGTGAATGAGTGTGTGCGCGGATCGCATTCTCTGTCTGTCTGTCTGTTTGGCGTCTGTACCTTCCTCCTCATAGTCGACACTGTCCGCGTCGCTGTCGTCATCGTCGTCCATGTCCATCCACCCCCCGTCGTCGCCAACGACCTCCTGCAGACCATCCTGACACAAGAAGAGAGCGGCGAGTGAGTCAAATCACATCCACTGTTGTGTTGGTGAATGAGATGAGTGCCTCACCGGTTCATCCCCCTCGACGGCCATCTCGTCGTGCATCCCACCACCCTGCTGCTGCTGCTGCCCGTCTGAAGACAAACACATCCGGCCACATATGATGGACAACGTGCTGCTGCTCGTGTCGTGTTGTCCGGGGCTGACCGTCAGCCATTGCTGCCTTCAAAAATTACCGGTGAAGATGCCCGTCATCGCTGGGGGAAAACTGCAGGGTTTGAACCCTGCGGCTTAAAACCCTGCCAAAGGAGAGATGGGGATCTTCAAGCGGCTGTTTGGGCTTTTCTACAAGCGGCGGACGAAAGTCAAGATCCTGGCAGTCGGCCTCGACAACTCGGGCAAAACCACGCTGCTCAAGAAACTCAGACCAAAGAAGGTGGGTGCGCAAGGAAGGAAGCGATGGACGACTGAATGGATGGATGGATAGATAGATGGCAGACAGGCCAGCGCGGCGGCAGATGAAAAGCTGCATGCACTTGCCAGCAGAATCAATGAGGTGCATTCTGTGGGCTGTGTGCCCTGCCCACCGCAGGCTGACCTGAGTACGGTGCCGACGGTTGGCTACGAGTTCGAGAGTTTCTCCAAGAATGGCGTGGCGTTTGACTGTGTGGACATGTCGGGGCAGAGCAAGTATCGCAACCTCTGGGAACACTACTTCACCGACACCGACGTGAGGGAGGGCGGGGCGAGGAATGGGGTGCCAAATGCACTTATGTGTGTGTGTGTGTGTGTGTGTGCAGGGCGTTATCTTTGTGGTGGATGCGACGGATAAGCTGCGGTTTGTGGTCGTCAGGGAGGAGCTCGAGACCATGCTGAGCCACCAAGGCACACACACAAACACGATGACCAGGAAGCGAGACCGGCCATTCAACTCCCGTGGTGTGTTTGTGTGTGTGTGTGTGTGGTGCAGAGTTCAGCCGCCGCAAGATCCCGCTGCTGTTCTTCGCCAACAAGATGGACCTGCACGACGCCGTCACGCCGAATGAGCTCCTCGCCACACTGCAGCTGGACGACCTCGCGCACCCTTGGAGAATCTTGTACAGCCAGACACACACGGACACACAGGCACATAGTTGAGGACATTGTGGTGTTGGTGCTGTCGATGAGTGCAGTGCGAGCAACGCGTTGAGGGGCGAGGGTCTTGAGGAGGGGGTGGGGTGGCTCGTCGACGCCATCGCCGAACACAAGACGACGGCCAAGTGATCATATCGGCCAGTCGATAAGCTCATGGACGATGGATTTAGCTGCCGATGTGCAATCGTGTGCGTGTGTGTGTGGAGGTGTATGCCGTGTGTATACAGCAGGCAGGCAGGCTGAGTGGGTGCGTGTACATAGACAGACAGTCAGACAAACCTTTGCCGCAGGTGACGTGACAATGTAACGAACGAACTTCCCGTGCAAATGAAAGGAAGATTCTGAGTGAGTAAAGTGGCAGAGGCATGGACGACTGAATGAGCGACCGAATGACGTCTTTTTGCTGTGCAAGTCGTCTCTAGCTGCACAGCAGATTCGCAAGACGTCAGGCAGTCTGCTTGCCGCTGTGTGCTCTGCGAATCTCTGTTGTATTTGAGCGAAAAGGGCCGGTGAGGACCTTTCCTGTAGTTAGCTGAATAGAGGATCTGCTGGGCGGTAAGTCCCAGAGTATGAGTGCTTTTACTTTAATAAGACCGATGGACTGGCGAGTCAGTCAAAGTTGTTTCTGTCCATGTATGGCATCATGAAGGGTGGTCAACACAGATCTCACTTCGGTGATGGCTGATAAGATCGTGTCTCCTCAGAATGCTTTCCTT